TGGGTGTTATGCACAAACAATGAATCATGGAACACTTCATCTAAAACTAATGATGTAATGTATGGGGATTAACATAAGAATAAAAAAATAAAAAAAAAGATTTATTTATTTGACAGAGAGAGCGAGCTCGCGCAAGTGCTCGCACATACAAGCAGGGGGAGCAGCAGAGGGAGAGGGAGAAGCAGGCTCTCCACTGAGCAGGGAGCCTAAAGTGGGGCTCAATCCCAGGACCCTGGGATCATGACCTGAGCTGAAGAGACCATGACGCTTAACCAACTGAGCCACCCAGGCGCCTCTACCCTTGAAAGTTTCTAAAGGTACCTTCTTAGAATGAACCCAAAGTCTCTACGTAAATCCAACATGCCCAGTTTTTAATTTAGGATTGCAAAAAATCATTGCTACCAAATTAAGGAGGTGACTTGCATATTATATAAAAAAACACTATCTTTTTAAAGTTAAATTTTTTTATATAGAGAGACAGCGGGGAATGGAAGAGAGGCAGAGAGAGAGGAGAGAGAGACTCTTAAGCAGGCTCCACACCCAGCACGGAGTCCCACATAGGGCTCAATCTCACAACCCTGAGATCATGACCTGAGCAGCAATTAAGAGTGGGATGCTTAACTGACTGAGCCACCCAGGCGCCCCTAAAAAATACTCTTTAAACATTAGAATCATTATTTAGCACAGTGTAATGGTCATACAATGAGAATGATGTTGGAACTGAGACTGATAATATTAACATGAGTTGAGCACTTACTATGTGCCAGGCACTGTTCTAAGTGCTTAACGTGTACTAAGAGATTTGAGCCTCCTAACAACCTTATTTTGATACACTGCTTATCAATGAGAAAACTGAGACACAAAGGGATAACTTATTTAGTGATACAAAGCTAGAAAATGACAGAATCAGGATTTAAACCTAAGGGTTCCAAAGTCTGTGCTCTTAACCACAATGATCTACAGCCTCTAGTATATGGGAGGAGAAATTCACGTCTCATTTCACATGTTCCAGGACACAGGCTCTTTGTGGAATGGCCAGGTGAAATGCCCACATTCATTCATTCACTCATTCAACTAATATTTATTGAGCATCTACTATGTGTTAGGCTTGGAGGAAACAGAAGTGAACAATTTAAATAAAAATCCTGGCCTTCAGGATTCTGACATTTTAATGGGGTAGACAGGTAATTTTAAAAAGGCCAGGCAGATGTAGTGTATGTTAGAATGTGATGAGTGGTATGGAGAAAAATAAGGCAGAGAAGTAGAATTCTGAATGCTGGGAGAGGAGGGAAAGGTTGCAGGTGTATTTTGGGTGGTTCCATCAATCAAATCCAGTGTATGGGCCATGTCTGGACATCAACTGGAACAAACCAACTATAAAAAGTCATTTTGGAGACAACTGGGGACAGTGAATATGGCCTGCATATTGGATATTAAGAACTTAAATAATATTAGTATGATGGTTATGTTCTCTCTACATTTGTATGTTCTAAAGTTTCCAAAATAAAATGATTAAAAAAAAAGGAAGGCCATCAAGGAAGAGTCAAAGCATTCTAATGATGACATTAGAGTAAAAACCTGAGGGTAGTGAAGGAGTGAGCAAGTGGATCACGGGGAAAACCATCCAGACAAAGGGAAGAGCAAGCATGCAGACTCTGAGGCCAGTTAAGGGTAGTGGGGGTTTGGTCAGAGACGCAATGAAGTGTAGTGTCTTGTATACGGTTTTAGAGACTCTGGCTTTAACTCTGTGGGGGTTGGGAAGCCACTGGAAGGTTTGAGTGGCAAGGTGATATGATCTAACTTACATTTTTGAAAGTCCCACTATCGCTGCTATGTTAAGAACACACTGAAGGGGAGGGAGCATGAGAGGTACAGTTAGGAAGTTATTACTCTAATACAACAGAAATGATGATGGCTTGGAAGAGACTGTAACAGTGGAGATAATGAAAAGAGGTCTGTTTATAGTAATATATGAATGCCAAAGTAATTGCTTACAAATTAGATGGAGATGTGGGATAAATAGAAGAGACCAGCACAAAACCAATGTTTCTGGCTTCAGCAGCTAGAAAGATGATGTTGCCATTAACCGAAGTGGAGAAGATATGGAAGACACAAGTTTTTTGGGGAGGGGGTCAAGAGTTCAGTTTTGAACATGTCAAGTTAGAAACACAAGTAGTGGGGCGCCTGGGTGGCTCAGTCGTTAAGCGTCTGCCTTCGGCTCAGGTCATGATCCCAGGGTCCTGGGATCGAGCCCTACATCGGGCTCTCTGTTCAGCGGGGAGCCTGCTTCTCTCTCTCCCACTCTGCCTGCTTGTGTTCCCTCTCTCACTGTCTCTCTCTGTCACATAAATAAATAAATAAATCTTTAAAAAAAAAAAAGAAACATAAGTAGTGACAGCAAATAAGTATCTATCTATGTGAATATGCAGCCAGGAGGGAGGTATGGGCTAGATTTATGTATCTGTAAAATTAGGAGTGTATAGATTTGACAGTGAAAAGAATTACCAAGAGAATGTGGATAGAAAAGACAAGAAGGGAGCCTGGCTAGGTCAGTCAGAAGAGCATGAGACTCTTGATCTCAGCATCATGAGTTTGAGCTCCACACTGGGTGCAGAGATTACTAAAAAACAAAAACAAAACAAACAACTTAAAAAAAAAAAGACAAGAGGCCTAAGGTCTAATCCTTAGGAGACTGAGAAAGAATGGCTAGTGAAGTTGGAAGAAAATCAGAAAGATAGGCTGTCCTAGAAGGCAAGTGAAGAAAGTAAGGAAAGGAAGTAGAGGAGTCCTTGACTGTGTTAAATGCCCGTGAAACACTAGCAAGTAAGTTAAAGACTATGAACGGACTACTAAAATTTACAACATGGAGGTCATCAGCAACACTGACAGGAAAAAGTAATCCAGGTAAGGTGGTTGAGAGTAAAGTGTGACAAAGTGGGTTTAAAAAAGTAGGAGGGGAGAGGAGTGCCTGGCAGGCTCAGTTAGTAGAGCATACAGCTCTCAGGAGCATGATCTCAGGGTTGTTGAGTTCAAGCCCCACATTGGGTGTAGAGCTTATTCAAGAAGAATAAATAAAATTAAAAAAAAAAAAAAGGGCAGGAGGTGGAAGATTGTAGACAGCAAGTACAAATAACTCATACTTTAATACTGCATTTTTCTTGTTCTTTTGTTTGACCAAGTTTAAGTATGGCTAAATTGTCATGTTAACTGTATGTCTCACAGGACTCCACTACAGTCAGAGATAAAGAAAATCATTATGGTTTCACAAAAGTAAAAGGAAAAAGGGTCTCAAAAGAAAAAGTTACCATTATTAAGGTCATAGGAAAAGGTCTTCAGGTTTGTTACCATTTATGGGTTGGTAACCCGTCTACTGGACAAATTTTGTTTCAACATAAGATGATGACAGGAAATGTTCCTAAAGATGAGACATGGAGTGAAGTTACACTGCTAGCAATCACCTGTCTCCTGTGAGTAGAATAGTATGGTAAGGAAAGAAAAAAGCTGGGAGAAGATAATGTCTTCAGTCACCAGAAAGTAAAGCGATAAACCTGAAATGCGTTTCCATCTTTAAACGCATCATACATACGCATTTCTAGCTCACAGCTCTGTCTGCGGTCATACTCAGGGTAGATAAAGCACAAAAAAATCAGGATATTAATTTCAAACTTTGTGCTTCTATGATTCCTTTTGTACCATTTCACTGACTCTTTAATTGAGCACTCTGAAGATCACTAAGTGCTTTTCTGAAAATGTGGTGTCTGGGCTGAAACTTCAGCAATTCTGATTGCAGTGCCTCAGTAATGCAAGTAAATACTGGTACTAAACAATATCAGGACAATGTGCCTGCAAATAAAATCACAGAAATGACTCCGGATTGAAGACAATTCTCCAAAAGTCATCATAACAAAGACCTCACATAAACACACTCAAAACACAAACTCTGTGAATTACAAATTTAAACAAATTAATATATCTGCACAAATCCACAAATTAGCACATGTAACAGTCTAAATGATCAGTCTAGATATTTTTAAGTAGCAACATTTTTGGAAATGAATTACTACCAAAATTCTCCCACAATTCTACCTTAAATGTTTAAATGATAAAGATACTGTGCTATATCTCTGTAGAGGTTTATAGAAACCTGAATTCTCTTACGTTTCAAACTCTAAATAAAAAATAATGCAGGGGCGCCTGGGTGGCTCAGTCGTTAGGCATCTGCCTTCAGCTCAGGTCTTGATCCCAGGGTCCTGGGATTGAGCCCCACATCGGGCTCCCTGCTTGGCGGGAAGCCTGCTTCTCCCTCTCCCACTCCCCTTGCTTGTGTTCCCTCTCTCGCTGTCTCTCTGTCAAATAAATAAATAAAATCTTAAAAAAAATAAAATAATGCATACCAATCACCTCATACCAATTGAGAATAATTAATATCAAAAAATCAGAAAAACAGGGGCACCTGGGTGGCTCAGTCGGTTAAGCGTCTGCCTTCAGCTCAGGTCATGATCCCAGGGTCCTGGGATCGAGCCCCACATCGTGCTCCCTGCTCAGAGGAGAGCCTGCTTCTCCCTCTCCCTCTGCCTGCCGCTCTGCCTACTTGTGCTCTCTCTCTGTCAAATAAGTAAATAAAATCTTAAAAAAAAAAAAAAATCAGAAAAACGGGTTGGCGAGGATATGGAAAAATTAGAACCCTTGTGCACTGCTGGTTGGAATGTAAAATGATATAGCTGCTGTGGAAAACAGTATGGCAGTTCCTCAAAAAAATAAAAACTAGAATTATCATATCATCTAGCAATTTCACTTCTGGATATATATCCCAAAGAACTGAAAGCAAGGTTTTAAAGAGATGTTAGTATATCACTACTCATAAGCAGTATTATTCACAATGGTCAAAATGTGTAAGTCAACCCAAGTGTTCATTTTTTTAAAAAGATTGATTTATCAGAGAGATAGAGAGAGAGAGAGGGAGAGAGCATGCACACACACTAACAAGCAGGGGGAGCAGCACGCAGAGAGAGAAGCAGGCTCCCTGCCAAGCAAGGAGCCTGATGTGGATTTCGATCCCAGGACCCTGAGATCATGACCTGAGCTGAAGGCAGATGCTTAACCGACTGAGCCACCCACGGTGTCCCCAAATGTTCTCCTTCTTGAATATCTACTCTTTCTCCTTTCTCATGAGAAAAGGGCTAAGGCAGTAACACAGACATCTGTACTTTAAAGTCTACATCAACGGCTCATACCTGATGTCCACTCTAAGTTTAGGGTAATACTGAGACACATATTTCCTGATGAGACTGTAAGAAGCTTCTTTAGGTTCACAAAGGCGAGTAAAGGCCAATGGGAGGATATCCTCCAACTTTACTTGTGGTTCTGGATCCACTGCAGAGCTTCTGTTCTGAAATATAATATCAAAAATTATCATCAGTATAGAATACAGAGTTTTCTGTTCAAATGCTTCTCTATTCAACTCAAGGGCTTTCCTAAATTGACTGTCAAATCAACTAACTTGTAGAAAACTATCACTTTTTTCCACATTCAAATAAATATACCACAGGGGTATAATGGCATTTGTGTGGCAACTTATTTGAGATAAGAACTTCAGATTGAGTTAAAATATGTATAAAAATGACAAGAGGAGCACCTGGGTGCCTCAGTCAGTTTAGCGTCCGACTCTTCATTTCGGCTCAGGTCATGATCTCAGGGTTGTGAGATCAAGCCCCAGATCGGGCTCTGCACTGGGTGTGGAGCTTGCTTCAGATTTCTCTCTCTCCCTCTGCCTCTGCCCCGCCCACTCAAAAAAAAAAAAAAAGGATAAGAAATGGTAGACTTTAATTAAAGGTCCTAGTTTATTCTTAGCCTTCAATAACAAAGAATGAAAAGGATCATGCAGTGCCAAAAAGCACTGTAAAAGTTCATTTCATTCAAAGTTTTAGGAAAAAAGTACAAAAATCTTTGGAGTTGCAAAAACACAGATGTAGAGGAATAGTCATGATTTCACTTACTGACACAGAGGAAATACTACACATTTCACTTTATTATTGTACAAATACTTTCCATAAATGAAATTATGTATCTCAAGGAGGAGAAGTATTAGTATGTACAAAAAAGAAAAGAAAAAAGAGAAGAGAAAAAAAGGAAAGAACAGAAAAAGGCTCTGGGTATAGTTTCGGGGCCTAATAATGGGTAAAGAGGTACTCATATGGCCCTTTTCAGACATTTCATTAAAAGCAGTATAATTCATACAGCTGTCCATAATTCAACTTATGGCAGTTAAGTGCACGGGCTCTGGGGCTGGAGTGCTTGGTTCACACACTGCCTGTTTTCTACTCATTAGCTGGCCGGTAGTGAGCGAAGGCCTGAGCAGCAAGGCTGCACTCTGCACACTGCTGGCACACAGTGAACACTCAACCAGTGCTGCTATTTTTAGTGGAAGAAGTAGTTTTACAGTGCTCAAACTGTGGTACAGACTTCTTACCTTTCTGTTTCTGGATTTCTGAGGTGTTTTTCTTGGTTTTTGGACCACAATAAAACTCCCAGAAGCACCTTTTCCTTTTACCTAAGGTAAATTAATGATAGTTACAATAAACCAATATTTTAAAATTATTTTGGTATTAACATTTATAACTTTATACTAGTCCAAGCAAAGTACAAGGCATGGTGATACAAGAACTAATGTAAAGTGCTGTTCAACCCTTCAGAGAAAAAAACAATGGATAGACTGAAAGACTTGGGACCGAATCCTATTTATGGTACCATCCAGCCATTCAATATTGGACAACCCCGTAAAGTCTCTGAGCTTTGTTTCCCCATCTATGGAACTGGGACGGATGCTATTGTGATACCAGGTTAAATAATCTACAAGCTTTCCACCCCCAAAAAAAGTACCATGAAAGAAGGGACAATCTCTTGGGGAAAATGAGAAAACCTCTATCTTGAAAGGAAGATCATTCCTTGGCAAAAGTATACAGCCTGCTGATCTCAAACTACAGTGCTTCCCAGATCGCCCATTAGTGATTATTACTGCACATGGGAATAGTTATCTAATTAATTCTTAGCCACCCCATATGGTATGTGTAAGTCTTACCACATATTTCCACAGTTTACAAAGCACTTTCATAGAACTTTAAAGCTGATTGGCACTAACCTGAGTCCTCCACACCTTAGCTTTATTTGTGCTACTATGAATGTAGCAATCAAGCTGAAATGCTTTCAGCCTATAAACTGTTGTTTAAGCATCAAACTGAGGTCAGCCTACGAGGCAAGAATAGGTCATAAACTATATTTCACAAAAAAAAAAAAAAAAAAAACCAACCAAACAAAAAAAACCCCATGAAGCCAGCTCATAAACTGTGCTGACATACACTATGATAGAGGACAAGTCTTTGGTTCTAATTACATTGGTTAGATAATACCTTTAAATCAGTGACTATTTTAAAGGCCATATAAATATCAGTTATACAACATTTTGAGAAAGCTGTAATGTTAGCTCCACAGCAGGAATCTGCTTTACTCACTGATGGGTCCCCAAGCACCTGGCACACAGGAACAATATATATTTGTGGAATGAAGTACTTGTTGAAAGTTCCTAATCAGAATTTAAATGCCTTAGTGGCACAGAATTCTGTATTAATCAAATTGTGCAGAAAGGTATGAAAGAAAAGGCAACAGGACTCTGGGAATACAGTTAACTATGTCCTTTGAACCATTTTTGCCAGTACCATGGGATCGTGGTAATTACTGGACCTCTGAAGAGGATTTAAGATAAAGTCCATTCCAACTTTAAATTTTTATGATTCTAAACAATATTTTGATGTACTATGCAAAATAACATGTGTTTATGCCTGAAATCATTACTGGTGTTAGTACTAGTCTCAATTTACTCAGGCTTCTCTGATGCTCCTAACAAGCTTTAATACCGTTAGGTTAAAGTGAACCTATTTACAAATACGTAACAGTAACAAGTCCAGTCACATAACAGGCTTTAAAACTAACAAACACAAGACAAGAATAATTCTTTTTTGCTGCTGCAATAAATTGATTCCTTGACCCCACATCTTATTTTCAGAACTACATGATCTCAAGCATTAAGTGGCCCCCAAAGAAAATCCAATCATGGGGCACCTGGGTGGCTCAGTCGGTTAAGCATCTGACCCTTGATTTCAGCTCAGGTCATGGTCTCAAGCCTTGTGTAGGGCTCAGCGCGCAGTCTGCTTAAGATTTTCTCCCTCTCTCTCTCTCTGCCCCTCCTGCCTCCCACCCCCAGCTCATGCACTCACGCTCTCTAAAAAAATAGATAAATAAAGAAATAATATTTATAAAAGTACAAGGAGCACCAGAAACAAATTACACTATCATAATGCTTCTGCTCTCCAGAACAGTTAACTTATCAAAGATAACTGGCACACCTGTAATTCTGAAACCTAGTCTCAAATAATAAAACTAGGTTAAGCTTAAACATTTCATCATCATGTTAATTTACAAAAGAAGACACAGAATGTTGAAATGATCTTATCCCCAATAATTGTTTAATACCTGTTTGATGACACCTCTATTTAATTCTCTTTTCAGTGCTTGTTTAAGGAGGTAGCCCCTTCTCTCCAGCTCCAGAGAAGGGTACTTATGAATAATATATTTTCGAATAGCAACCACTGATGCACCACTCTTCTGGAAGCATGCCTAGAAAACAGATTTACCAAACCATACACATTACTTTATACCAGCTGCTTTTCATTAGACAGAGAATCTGACACATATGTTTTCAAAATAAATTCTTTTGGAGGTGAACTTGACAAAAGATGATAAAAATGGCAGGAAGAATGAACAGTCTTTCAGGTAACTTCAGTTCATCATGGCTGTTGAGAAATACAGAAATAATCTTTTTGCAACAATAATTTTAACTTAGTTGAAGACAGGCAAAGAGAAGATAAAACGTGAACATTCTGTGTGTCAAGGAAGAACTTCCTTCCATTTTAATTCTATTCTATATTTAAAAGACAGATCTCCAGCATTAAAATGAAGAAAACAGAACATTTCTATTACTACAGGATTATAGATCTGATTCATTTTCTGGAATGAGCTTTAAGCATACCAGGACCAATGTTCTCTGTAGGCTTTGTGTGAATGTCAGCAGAGAACATTAGCAAAGATAATCTGAATAAATGGCATAAAACTGGTTTACAGATGGCAAAATCTTAAGCAAAGTTCTGGGTAACAATGAGGGCATTCGATTGTGACTTAAAATGCCCTCTTCTGTTTCCATCCAATTTATCTATATGCCATTTGATTAATGACCATGGAAGACTTAAGTAGATCATTAAGTCATGAAGGTGGCAAATTTTTTTCAAATGCATTTTGAAGCACACGTAAGGAGCATCTGTTGTCTACCTAATGGGCTAGTCCACCAATTTTGTGTTGCCATTGTCTATAAACTGAACGTGGCACTTATTTATTCTCATTGGATAAAAACTTGATTGAATGTTATTTTACATACTGTAACAATAAAGAAAAATTGTACAACATAAAACAAAGTTGTATTAATATGGTTGACTTACTTCAAGTATCTCTGATCTATTACAACCTATTAAAGTTTACTCCTGATTTTTTAAGAAAATCGAGCAGAAAAGAACTAATGCTAAAGCAATTCTATGCTCCACCAAACTGACACTGAGATGGAAGTAGACATAAGGACTTCTGTTTATTCACAAAATGGTATCAATGGTCTATAATCATGATTTCTTACACTGCATGGAACACACACACATACACACACCCTCCCTTGTACAAATACGCACAATCAGATTCAAACTATTCTTTAGGCCTAATTATACTGTTCTAATTTTCTGTTTCACTATTTTAAAATTTTAGTCCCTTCTCCAACCTCACTGTAACCCTGCTCCTCGAAATCTAGGCTGAGAGGTCATGAAGTGAAATCCTGGAAGAAAGGCTATACAAAGAAAAGAGATCTCATTACAGTCAAGCTATCCAAACCAAGAAAGTTTTAAGGAGAGCACTCTTGAAAGGAGTGCAGGGAGAGGTCTGAAGGCAAACCCTTTTCCAGTTTATGTGTCATTCTCAAACTCTGAAAATGACCACTAGGCTGCTCTCTTCTCTGTACACCACCCTTGATTACATTGGTCTTTATTCCTCTTTCCCCAATTCTGACTGAGATCCTAGCAACAAGATCCCTAAAATGAGGGTGTCTTGTTAATTTGCATGATGAGATAAGAGGAGCTAGTGAGATTATCATATTATGCAAATTAGCAAGGTAAAAGTAACCAGGAAAACTTAAAAAAGGCAAGGTCAGATGATAAGATAACCTTAAAAATTAAAATAAGAAAGCTACGTGAGGACCCGTAAGCTAATGGGAGTCAGTGGATTACAGCAAAGTCAGAAAGCTGTGCAAGGAGAATTTTTGGTGATGAAGCAAAATAGTAAGGTTTCTAAGAGGGTTTCTTAGAGTTTAGGTGAGAAAGCTAGTTATTACCAGTATTAGACACTCAGCTCTGAAAATGGACCTAAAGACAGTGTATCTTTTTTAAAATAAAAATCCTCTATGCTATTCAGTTACTCTCAGTCACAATCAGACTTCATAAGGGCAGAGACGACCCTGTTTTATTCTCTGCTATATCCTTAGCAGGGTTACAGATACAGAGAAGTTAGTCCTTAAATGTTTGTTGAATGAATTAACAGGTTCAGCCTTCAAATAAATACTATATTTAACCAATAAACTGAGCAAAACAAAAAAAAATCGTGAAGTTAAAAATACTTGCTATAATAAATTTGAATTAAAAAATTAACAGTGCTCACCAAATGTGATTTTCTTAAAACAAAAACAAAAAACATGAACTTCACAATGGCTTTCTTCTATTTAAGTATCTTTTAGGAAACAGAGCAAGATTTCTCATGTCTGGACAGGAATATGCCATTTTCAAATAACCCAAAGACGAACAAAATAGATCTAAGATGAACTATTTGTAATAAAAACTTGCCTTAATGGCCTCAGTTAGGATTGCATCCATCTTGGGACGTGGGGAGGAAGCCATCGGTGTTTGTTTCTGGGCTCTGGCTAGCTGGCTGGCAGAAAGAGTAGCCCAGGAAGGTATAGTTTTTTTCACTTTCTTCTCCTTTTCTTTAGACTGATCTTTCTCACTTTAAAACAAATAATTGTTATTATGCAAAGTAAACTCTGCAGAAAGAGGTATAAAGTCAGAAAGAAGAATAGACAAGGAAAGGATAAAAATTAATGTTTTATTGCCACACTGAAGTGATACATAAAAAGAGCAAATTTTCAAAAAATAAAACCTTTTTAAAAAATTGGATACTATAAATGAACCAGAAAGGTGTCTTCTCTTAGGTGCAGGAGAGAGGAGTCAGATAAATTACCACTGGTATGAAAGGCCAGCACACTAAAGAAATGAGAATTTTAAAACATATTCTAACAACTACAACAGCTGTCATTTAGCACAGTGAAAAGAACTCAAGCTCTGAAGTTGGAAGACCTGGGTTTGGGTTTTTGCTCTAACATTTACTAGCTACATGACCTTGGCAGGTAACCTGAGTCTCAGTCTCCTCAGCTGTAAAATAGTAATCTAAGGCCAAATATTTTACAAGTTTGTTGCAAGAATTACGAGATTGTTTGTAAAAACAATTTTGTGAGCCATAAAGCATTACACAGATTGTATTCTAAATAATAATAATAATAGCACTCCATGCACCTAAAATACAGGGTAGCTGCTAAAAATTCCAGAGAACTTAAACCTACAAAGGATTCCCTGAGGACTACACCCAGAAAGTATAGTTATTACTAAGTTATTCTTTCATTTAAAAAATAATTCCTAACAATTTTGACCAACTATGAAAAGAATAGAATGTGACTAGCTGTCCTGCAAAAAAAACAAAACTTTAATTAAGAATTGCTGGGGCGCCTGGGTGGCTCAGTCGGTAAGTGTCTGCCTTTGGCTCAGGTCATGATCCCAGGGTCCTGGGATGGAGCCCCACAGAGGGCTCCCTGCTCGGCGAGGAGCCTGCTTGTTCTTCTCCCTCCGCTCCTTCCCCACCCCTTGTGTGCTCTCTCTCTCAAATAATAAAATCTTTAAAAAAAAGAAAAAAGAAAAAAGAATTGCCACCACATTGTACAGATTACCAGTAGCAAATTTCACTTTCAGATTCATAAAGTCACCCTCCAAGTGATGAATACTTCATCAAACATACCCAGAGTTTTAGGTGATGCTGGCAATAGCTGTTATAGATTAATGTTTTCTAACGTAAGCATATAAAAACAACTCACAGAGGCAGGAATAAAACGGTGAAGTATTTCCCAGGTCAGATTTTTAGAGTCATGTTTCATTTTTTTTTTTTTAAGATTTTATTTATTTATTCATGAGACAGAGGAAGAGAGAGAGAGAGGCAGAGGGAGAAGGAGAAGCAGACTCCCTGCTGAGCAGGGAGCCCCATGCGGGACTTGATCCCAGGACCCCGGGATCATGACCTGAGCCGAAGGCAGACGCTTAGCCGACTGAGCCACCCAGGCGCCCCATGTTTCATTTCTTATTGAAATTATGGCAATGATTAAAATATCAGACACTCCCACAATGAATTCTAGCACAAAAAAAATTCCAAATGCAAGAACAATGACTTTTGAGTTATTCAAACCACTATTATAATAACTACTACAAACTCTAATAGGCCTTACAACTACATAACAAACATGTTTCAAACAATAATTCTAAAAAGTAAATCCAAGTACACAGCAAGTATCTAGCATAAACCAATGTTAAAAAGCCATAAAACAATCTGATCTACAGTCCTTTTACAGAGTCTTCAGTTATAAATAGCAAGAAGGCATAACTCCTTACTCCTTTTTGGTTTCCTCTGAGGACTTGTTCTCTTCCTTCTCTTCATTCTCAGCTTCTCCCTTTGGCTGCTCTGTCTCACTAGATGTAGCAGGTGGAGTTTCATTCTCTTGTTCTTCTACAGTAGAGACAGATTCCTCTGAACTTATGTCTGGTTCTAAAAAATCAGGTGAGCAGAATCAGATTAAGTAGATATATTAGAGACTGAGTCAATAAAAGGGTAAAAGTCTAATTTATTAAACAGAAAAGCCAAATGCTCCAATTGACAGATGTATTTTAAAATGAACAAATGATAATCAGTTGCAGTTTTCTTTCTTTTAGTCCACTCCAATTGCCTATTCAATGGGTTGCTTATCCAGACCATTAGGTGATAAAAGGAGATGGACAAGACAATTACACAGAAAGAGAAACTCATTTTACCTCAAATCAAATCTCTTGCCCACTCTGCAATATTAATGATAAAATTCATAATTAAGAAATTAGCTATTTCAGGGGCGCCTGGGTGGCTCAGTCGTTAAGCATCTGCCTTCAGCTCAGGTCATGATCCCAGGGTCCTGGGATCAAGCCCCACACATTGGGCTCCCTGCTCTGCGGGAAGCCTGCTTCTCCCTCTCCCACTCCCCCTGCTTGTGTTCCCCTCTCTCGCTGTGTCTCTGTCAAATAAATAAAATCTTAAAGAAAAAAAAATTAGCTATTTCATAATTTAACAGACAAATCTTAGGAAAGGAATAAGTAACAGAAAATGAACACCTATTTTCCACGTTAAAGGACTGGGGCAAGAGCAGAAATCTGAGAGGGGGAATAGTGAGGTCTGCAGTTGCTAATCTGTCTTTTCTCAGCATGTCTCTTTGAGCAGTTACTACAAAACACAGTACCCTAGATTTGGTTAAGTAAGGACTTCAAAGAAAAAAAGACTCTCCAGTGGCAAAACTTAGGCAAAAAAATAAAAGTAGAGGCTTGAAGAGTTTGGTCATTTAAATTATGTGAACAGGGTGCCTGGGTGGCTCAGTTGTTAAGCGTCTGCCTTCAGCTCGGATCATGATCCCAGGGTCCTGGGATCGAGCCCCACATCGCGCTCCCTGCTCCGTGGGAAGCCTGCTTCTCCCTCCCACTCCCCCTGCTTATGTTCCCTCTCTGTCTCTCTCTGTCAAATAAACAAAATCTTTTTAAAAAAATAAATGTGAACAAATTACTATCATGATGAAAACTTCTAAGAGAACAAAAAAATGCCACTTCCTTCTTATAACCAAAACACATATATACGGTTCTAAAGGAATTTCTAATTTTCAACAAATTAAAATTCTAAACCATGAACTTCAGGACAGTCAACTATCATTTGTTGATCTCATCCTAGATTATGCTCTTCAACCATATAAGTTGAAAATCCTCACATACAGGTTTAGCCAAAATTGAAGAGTCAGACACACCTGGATTCAAGTTCAGTCCTTATAACTTTATAGCTTGCTATCTTAGGGCAAGTTCTTGGATATCTCCAAGTTTCAGTAATCTTACCTCACAGATTTATCATGGGTATTGTATAAAATGCTTTATAAGTACACTTGCAATCTTTGGCCTCTCCTGCTGCTTCTAGAACTATTTCACAAAGTATTAAACCTAGAACTTCATTATAACAATGGTATCTGGTGACTCAGATAATTACTGTTAGATGTATTTTTTTAATCACATACGTATCTTTTACTGCCCCTCGCCCCACCAACTTGATTTAAGTCCTGCGTGGGTAAGAACTTACTAGTAGTCATTATGTTTACTTCTACTTTGCCTTATTCTAAAACGGATGAAAAAAACCGTTTACTGGGTTTTACTCTTAGAGCTATAAATTCAATTTCATATTATTTTCTCAAGAATAACTGCTTAGGGGCGCCTGGGTGGCTCAGTCATTAAGCGTCTGCCTTTGGCTCAGGTCATGATCCCAGGGTCCTGGGATCGAGCCCCGCATCAGTCTCCCGGCTCAGCGGGAAGCCTGCTTCTCCCTCTCCCACTCCCCCT